AGTCATTCATCACCTTAAACGAAATTGGGTGAGTACAACTCATACTACTGATTTACTGGTAGTCACGAAAACAATACTTAATTTAAAAAAATAAAGTGAATTCTCAATATGAGATGTATCCACCCAACTTCGTTTAATGATGAGAACAACTTCTGGGTAAGCAAGGCTATGTGAAATTGAATGGAAACGTCAGCTCAACTCATATGATTGTGGGAAAATTCTACTACCAGTCCTTAATCACCTTAAACGAAATATGGTGAATACATCTCATTACACTGATTTACTGGTGGTCTCGAAACCCTAATCTTATACAAATTGAAGGATACATCAGTATGCATTTATTCAGGGATTCTTCGAAATTCAGCTTCCCGTCCTCAGGCTGGCTAATTTTCTAACTTAAGCTTTTTCTCAGCTGGTGATTTTCATTGCACTTCCTCCAAGGATGATAGGCCATTTGTCATTCCCCGTTTGGTTACCTGACTAACTCATCAATTCACCGAGATTTCGGTTCGCATTATCTTTACTACTCTTATACTACTGCTGCATCACATTACTTTTGCAAATTAGCTATCTATTAGACGAATCATGAGATTCCAGATTAAAAGGGTTAATTTATGCCTTTAGGGGTGGGCGACTGGTGGAGCCGTCTGAAAATGTTGTATTTTCTGGCTCTGATGAGCTCGAGACAGATGAAAACGCAACAGATTCATCGAGATGGCGAAAGGTCAATAGGCGAATTGTGTTCGGTTGTCGATAAGACAAATTTACGGATAGTTTTTTGTCACGTTTTCGAACGAACTGAAAAGGGAAGCAACATGAACCTTCTTTGGTCGTCTTCAAAGCCTGTTATGCTCCTCGTGTTTAGAATCTACTTTTCTCCCCTCTAATGCCTACAACATAGACGCATTTCATTTGGATTCTATTGTTGGTGTTTATGTCTTGCAGTTAGGCATTCGGTCTTGCATGCCGGTGAGTTTTTTTACTTACTTTACAAGCAGGTTTTTGAGGACCTAAACTCGCTCAAAACATTGTTGGAGATATTTTTATTCGGCCAAACGGTAAAATGCGGTTCACGCCTGGACTGATTGTAGCCAACACCACGACTCCTCCTTGGTCAGGATCATTGCTCTTTGTTCGGTCAAGGGAAACGACTTTATGACTCAATTGGTTCGCCGTGCCATTTTCGCTTGCCCAGCAGCAGAATGGTTTTTATGACTGATCTTAGTGTCCACTTTGCTTGTTGCTAGACGCCCAGTTGCAGGTCCGAAATCCTCCAGCCTTTGTCTGCTTGCTCCCAGTTACACAGTACCGTTGAGTGGTTTGTCGGAAAGTGGTCACATTTGCGTTCACATGTTTAAGGCATGCATGTTACATTTTGTGTAGTCCATTTCCTCATTTCTCTCTCATACTCATCCTGCATTGCCTGTCTGTCGAAGTGCTTATTTTCTGTCTATTTTTATCTCCATTCTACCATTATTGCATATCAGGTCTACAGCATGCACACCGCAACCCCGGCCAGCAAACCTCGTCCCCAGCACACGGTCAACCCGAACGATGGGTTGGTTGAGTGGGACCACGTGGACGAGGCCTCGGCCAGCCCGACGCACCTATCGAGGCTCCATGCTGGTTGTCAGGGTGCCGGTTGTCAAGGTGCCGATGTCATGTCTGGCACTACGTGCCTCCAGAGCGAGGTGACATCGTCTATCGAACGTAAGCAGTTTGTTGGGCAACCCTGGCCCCTTGTGCTGTAAAAATTGGCTTCATTTTATGACTCACACCTCGACTCCACTTCACCCCACTCCAGTCAGGGCTGTGTTCAGCACAGGTTTCGGAGTTTCCAGACTACTCGGCTCGGTACCAAACGTATGCACCTTTGTGTCTTTTTGCCGCGTCGACGGCCCTGCTCTGCTGCCATTGTAGACTCTGACGGAAGGCCCGCATGCGGTACCTCCCTCCTCTTGTACTGGGGCCGTCCTATGCGTAATTTGGCTTGGCTACAGCGGCCACTTTTGGATGGCCGGTCGCACAGTCCTGGGACTGACGTTGGTGTCCTGTCGTAAGACTGAACTATAAGGCATTTTAAGCGGCCTAGAGTTGTTTATCTCTATCTAAACACTACTGATTGTCTCAAACACTACTTCTATTAAAAGTACTTAACGTATTAGCCTATTTAAGTGACCGCTCTTATCCAAGGCTTACTAGTAGTCTCTAAAACTACTTATATTGAAAATAAGTAGCGATTAAGATTGTTTAATCGATTAAATTCTTATATAAGAATTGCTGAAAGACTACTTCTATCAAGTATACCTAGCACCTGATACTCTTAAGTAACAAATTTCTCACCTAAAGATTACTTATTCTGGAAAACTAATTCCACCGGAAATAAGTGGGGTCTACGGCTGTTTAGATGACTAAGTCCCTGGAACTACTTATATCGAAAATAAGTAGCAATTGAGATTGTTTAATTGATTACATTCTTATATATGTATTACTGATCTTCTGAAAGACTATTCTATCAAGTATACTTAGCGCCTGATACTCCTTAAGTAACAAAGCTCTCACCCAAAGATTACTTATTCTGAAAAACTACTTCCA